GAACGAGAAACGTATATACAACCCTATTACTAGATAATTTTAGTTGGATTATTCAACACTCCTACAGCCTACCCGACCGTGTAAAGAATGAACCGTTCATCAGGCATCTGGTGAAAAAAGGTACTCTAATTCTCAGAACTTACATTAGGTCACTGAAACTATGTGGTAGAAAGGCTTAAAATTGTGACTGAGGAGCTTCTGTGCAAGTACTTAAACGATAAAAATAGTCCGAAAAACTAGTAAGAACATACTGTATTTGAGATAAAATAGGAGATAAAGAACGAAAATACCTACTCCATTGAGATTTGCGTTTGGACATAACACCTAAGACTTATGGAAATTGACTACTAGAATATTTCAAAACAAGACAATACGTACTTAGCAATAAACTAGTCTCACTCCATTACTAGCATTCTTTTCGGTGGGTGGATATTAAGTACGTGCGATAAATTCTACAGGTATGAAAGCGTACGAATTAAATAACTGGTTAATCCTCATGAGCGAAACTATGGCTTTAAGAGTTAACGACTTGAGTTTTAAAAACATTAATGTACGAGAACTACCATAAGATTATGATAAAAGTTTTCTTTACTATTCCAGTTATAGGGTTCATACGTGTAAATTTAAACGAAGTGAACTGCTTTGCCAATAACAGCCAGTAACTTGGCACGCGGAAACTGTATTTAGCACAAGACATCGATACAAATCATTCTTAATTCACTATGACTGATTCGAACGTTTACGAAATTAAAGTGAACAACCAACTCAATAACTGCACTTAAAGTAAATACAAACTAGTAATTAAGCACTACCTTCAGTTTAACAACCCAAAACATGATCCACATTATTCCCGGCCTTCAGTAAAATGTATATTTTAGGTACATTCTCCCACGAAAAATGTGTCGTCTCTAGGTTCTTGATCAATTAAAACATTATATTTAACTACAGAATACACAGATGTTTTAAAGTAGATGGGATATTTTTCACAACTGTTGAATAAAATTGTTGAACACTTCTGAAAGTCAGAGATCATACATCAAAGAAAGTGAACAGTTATCAAACTGTTATAAGTTGCAGTACAGAGTTTTGTAAATAGCTGTAGTTTTTATATAAATTAACATGAACATGCAACCTAACTGTTAGTTCAATTAAATATAAAACTTCTCCGCACAACAGTTCTAACCAAATATGATCGGCCTTTAGTCAGTCAGTCATCTGCAACATAGGACCAGGCACATATATGTATCAATCCAAGTTGTCGTATTTCATTAACAAAAGATGGAAACCAAATTCATAGAAGTAGTTACTTCAATGGTAGTAAAATATAAAAAAATGATTGCATATTAGGATATGATACATGGAGAAAGAATTCTTCCGCAGAAAGAAAGATATAGAGCAATTCTAATCTCACGGTTTAAGGGCAGATAAAGAGTGTATACACCTACACCATTGTAATCCATTCTGAATCATGTCACCAAGAGTCTCCAACAATTGGTTAGGATAGTCACGCGGACCACAACCAAGCAGTCTGCATCTACCAACATGGCTCACACCTTATACGCCGACTCCACGTTTTGGTTTGGCTGCCACTAACTTTCTTCCATCCGTCTCCTACACTAGTTAGCATTGCGCACCGTGGTAACTGGTAGTTGAACATGTGTATTTCGTAGCCTAACCATCCAAGCCCATCAAGATTCACAAACCCATCAACTAATTCGACATCACTTCCTGATACCCTGCATCCAACCTCACTATTAATTACCCGGTGATCCCAGTAGATGCGAGCAATATTTCTAAGACATCTGTGATCAAATACTAGTAATTTATGAGTATTTTCTACTCTTAATGACCACGTTTTGCAGCCGTAAAGTAAAACAGAACGGAGTTCTGCACAGTATACTCATCCTTTTATTCATAGGACGATATCTCGCCTTCGCCATAGGTGACGTAAGTTGGTAAAACCAAAACGAACTTTCTGAATCCCTGCAGAGATTTCGTCAGAGACCAACCCCATTAAAGCTGATCAGACTTCCAAGATAAGTGAAGTTGTCCACGTGTTCGACTACTTCACTCCCTATCCATAGTTCAGGTGATGATACAGGCCAGTTCTGAAACAACAATTTGCGTTTACAGGGGGAGAAACCCATCCCAAATATTCTTGCATTGTTGCTCGGTGTTACTAAAAGACTGCATTTTATCACCATCTTCACCAAACAGGACTATATCACCTGCGTATTCTAAGCCAATAAATGCAACCCCAGGTAGGAGATCAATTTCCGAAAATCCAGTAAACGAGAACGTTATTTCTAGCAGTTGGTCTATGGTGAAATCGAAGAGAAATTAAGAGTGGACAACCTTGACGGACACCACTTGAGGTTGCGAAATAAGATGACAGCTCGCCATAAGCTCTGACTCGACTGGTAGAGTTCGAGTGAAGAGCCTTCAGAAGGCTTATGTACTTCTGAGGTACGCCTTTCAATGACAGACACTGTCACAGGACCTCTCGGCCTACAGGGTCAAATGCTGCTTTCAAGTCAAGAGAAACTATCATTACCGGATGCCATTAGCATGCCTATGTTCCGAAATCTGACGAATGGTGAAAATGTGGCGGTGCAGCCACGACCAGGTTTGAAACCAGCCTGATCCTCTCGTGTTTGTAGTTCACATGTCCTTGTTAGGCGCCCGATAATTAATGGGCTCGGTATTTTAGATGCTATATTAGTGTAATTATCCCTCTATGGTTATCACAAGATGGTTTCAATCCTTTCTTTCTTGCTTCCAGGTTTTCCATGGTGGTCTATCTTCAATTGACTCATGATCTCAACTATTGAAATTATTAAAAATTCCTTTCTCATATGTTGGGACGATCAGTCAGTCAGCTACAACGTAGAACCAGGCACATATATGCATCGGTCCAAGTTGCCATACCTCGTTAGCACAAGATGAACACTGGATTCATAGAAGTAATTAATTTAGTGGTGGTAGTAGTAGATAAATTATAGGTTGTATATAAGGATATAGTACAGGAAGGAAGAGAGATATGAAGCAATTTTAGTCTCAAGGTTTAAGGGAAGATAAAAAGTGTATACACCTACGCCATTGTGATCGATTCTGAGCCATGTCACCTAGTCTCCAACCATTGGTTACGATAGTCACGCGGACCCCAACCAGGTAGTCTGCATCTACCAACATGGCTCATACTAGAAGTTAGTGACTTCAAACACTGATGCCATGTTTTGGTTTGGCCGACGATCAGTGATTGCGACTAGTCAGATGGGATTACATCCAATTCCTGGATTTTAGCTAAAATATTGGTCAACTTAATCGCTAAAACCGGATTACCATCCCTAAAGACCTCCGGAGTTAATCCATCTGCCCTTCCTCGTTTCAGATTAGCTATAGCCTTTTGAACTTCAATTGGAGTCGGGGAACCAACTTCAATTTTCCATTCAGGCTGTTTGGAAATTGGGGGTTCCTGTAGAGTAAGCAGCTGAGGGCCAGCTGAACTGCTCATTAAAGTGTTCCGCTCATCGTTCTAAACGTCTGGACTGACAGCAGATAAGAGTGCCGTTTTTTACCGAGATTGTCTCACACTAAACTTCTTAACTCCATTTTCCTTTATTATTCTGAAAAGCTGTTTGGTGTTAACTAAAGCTGCTGCGTTTTCCATCTCTCGCTCTCGTTGTCCACCACTATTCAGGTGATGATACAGGCCAGTTCTTATTTCTTGCTTTAAGGGGCGACCCATTAGCTCCGTTGCCTCCAAATGCCCTGGTACGGCCGAGAGTGGGGAGAGACACCTCTCCCTCTCGAAATACTCTCACATGGCCAGCGAATATATAGCCTCTGACAGGGAAGTCCTACTCACAGCCTTCTCGTGGCGGGGGTGTTGTTTACGAAATTGAGAGGACGAAAAGCGAATTTCCAGCGCTTTAACCGGGTTGGTGGACATGGAAAGTACACCTAGGGGAGTTGGAAAACCCTGATTCCAAAACAATGGTGCACATGGGCTCCAGTATCCTGAGGGAACAAATGGCGTATGAACCAACTGTTGGTCACCTGCTACCATGGGACTGCATCTCCTTACGATGCTCCACTACCTTGTGGATCAGATCTTTCGGTCAAAGGCTCCGGGTGTGGCCCCCTAAGAAAACCACCTGCTTCAGTTCGGGCACCTGGAAAGTATCACAACCCTCACACAAATCGAATGAGATTTGTATGGCGCATATGTATCTGGTGCTTCCTTGTACCAATATTTATGTGTTTAAATAAATAAATATAAACTATTCACGATCGTTTCACAGACTTTTGGTTAACCTAGATCTGACTCGTTTTCGCTCTTCATCGTGTTCGGAATCTGATGGAATAAGTTTACGAGAGTAAATCAGTGCAATAGATGTTGCAGAAATCCACTGCTTTTTCGTAACCCTTCGATTAAAATCAGTAACAGTTGTCGCTGCTGTTTCCATAGCTGTTCGTATACCTTTCCAAGCAACATCTAGGTCAGTCTGGTTTTCGAAATTGCCTAAGTGTGACTTCAGTTGTTCCTGGAATTCGCCTATGACTTTCTCATCGCTGAGTTCAACTCTAATGGGTTTTCTTAATGTGGATTTCCTGTGTCCAGTGAGGCTCAAGCTACATAATCGGCATACTTGAGTAGTATTACATAGCTGGTTATTTTTAAACAAATGATGGATCTCGTCAACAGCGATACAAATTGAATACCATCCTGCGTTTCAAAGGGTTTACACACGCAACTTAATGAAGATAAACAAATGTGATTGTGATTTCTCATTTACAACTAGCCTAATAATCATCTGGCGACCGAAAATATTACTAAATATTTAAATCTTTAAAATCTGAAAATCACTAACTACTTGATGAACATAGGCAATTATACCTATAAAGCGAAATCTTTGAAGTGATATTATAAATACTATCTGACATTCAAAATGTCTCGCCACATGTATTGTGATAAATGCAACAAAAATAAAAGGGTATCCAAGGTAGAAAATGTATTACAAGTCACATAGAACTATACATAATGTTTGACCTAACATTAGCAACCATAGTCCTGAAAACCAGTCTTAATATCAAATCGTTTTACCAGGATCGGCTTTTAGAGCAACAGTTCGATTGAAAACCATCTAAAACAAAATAGAAACATAGGAAAGCAATAACAATGTGGCACACAAAGATGATTACAGCAGAAATAAAATCGTCTTATTTTTCAGAATAAACAAATGCCAATTCTATTTTCATAGATCAATACTGCTCAATGGTACTCATTTGACGATAATACAATTGAGTAAATGTTAGACCATGAGTTACAAATTCTATAAAAGTAGACGTTACTATCCAAATTTTTAAACCCAAATAGAGGGAAAAATTTAGATTAGTAATTATTTGTGAACTATAGTTTACTAGATAAATATTTGGGGCCCCTAAATGCCCTGGTACGGCCGAGAGTGGGGAGAGTCACCTCTCCCTCTCGAAATACTCTCATATGGCCAGCGAATATATAGCCTCTGACAGGGAAGTCCTACTCACTGCCTTCTCGTGGCGGGGGTGTTGTTCACAAAAGTGAGAGGACGAAAAGCGAATGTCCGGCGCTTTAACCGGGTTGGTGGACACGGAGGGTTCACCTAGGGGAGTTGGAAAACCCTGATTCCAAACCAATGGTGCACATGGGCTCCAGTATCCTGATGGAACGAATGGCGGACGAACCTGTCATTGGTCAACGGCTACCATGGGACTGCATCTCCTCACGATGCTCCACTGCCTTGTGGATCAGACATTCAGGTCAAAGGCTCCGGGTGTGGCCCCCTAAGAAAACCACCTGCTTCAGTCTGGGCACCTGGGCAGTATCACAGCCCTCACACAAATCGAATGAGATTTGTGAGGCGCATATTTATCTGGTGCTTCATTGTACCAATATTTATGTGTTTAAATAAATAAATAAATAAATAAGATAGATATTTCATTCTTTTATGTAATCCAGATGAACACCCAGGTTTGCTCTAAGTAGTGAGTTCAAAACAAGGTGGTAAGAATTCAAAGATGTAAAACAAAATCACTATTTGTTGTAGAGTCTTTTCAAGTTTTACCTGAGATTTTTTCATGGTAAACAGTACAAATACCACGTACCATAGTGTTATATCCCCTGGTGAATTATGAATGGTAACTCTAATGTCTATTTATCGATCAATGTATTATGCCTATTTCCTATTGTACAATTGTTACGTAACTAAGCTATTCATATTTGTGTTTCTCTTATCATGAGCTTTATTTTGATCTTTGATTTATTATCATACGATTCTTGAGTTATACTCAGTTATTGATTACTTTGGTTTGTATAAAAACCCATTATGTTTGTAAATAATGATTCATATTGCCGAGGCTGTTATTTGTGTTCTGGACTCAACTGGCTGGGCTAGGCAGATCACAGGACCGGTTAGCAATCTAGTCTGCTCGTACGGGTTTCGTGTCACTGTTCTAGTCGATAATTCGCTGCTCCCTAATTGGCGGTCTTATCGCGTCACACATTAGCAAGCCATCCACTCGGCCACAGATATAACAATTGGCGACGGGGACAAAAAAAGGTCAGTTTGTAATTGTTCGAAAATCAGGCAATCATTTGGTGCAATCAGCATCCAACATTCTCTTTGGTGTCCGTGAATGCCATTTTGTCATTATACATACAGTGAAAAATGACGCTCCCTTCCGACCGATTACAGTTGCTATTTGACCGACATTTGGAGTTCATGGTCAAACTACGCACACAGCTTCTGGATCACCAATGCTTTGCATATGCGTCGGAAGTGGATGGATTAATCACAGAATTTCACGCAGAGCTGGAAAATGATCGCAGCCTCCATGAATCCTCGACCAGCCACAACTCAAACAAAACAGCAGTCTCTCAAGAGACGCCCTGTTGTCCATTCACGTCCATTTCAGAAACGTGCCCGGTAGTGGATTCAAACCCCACTATCCCTGAAGTAGCATGTCCGAACAGTGACGCTTCCAGCTCTCATCAACATGATGCCATGTCAAATGCCCATGAAATGGTCGTACCAACCACCCAAAAAGTACCAGACATAATATCGAGCAGTACACGGAGCGAACCGCATTCTGAAATAGAAATTTTTACCGAATCTAATGATAAAGATTCCCAAGCTTGTCCAGAAAATTTGTTACATGCATCAAATCTGGAACCTAGCGCAGTTTTGGTGGACGCTGTTTATCGTAGTGATCCACAACCTGCCAGTGATGTTTGCAATAAGTCTAATGACTACATTTCTGCAGAATCAAATTCTGACCTCACATCAAATGTCGATCCTCACCATCCAGTCAATCTTAGCAGGTTTCCTATTGAATGCCAGAAACATGTTATAAATAGAATCGCATTAATAGAAACTTGGGTATATGAGGATCCAACACTATTTCGTGGTGGAGGAGGAGCTCAGGTTTCTCAAAAAGGGGAGGTGTTATATCCCCTGGTGAATTATGAATGGTAACTCTAATGTCTATTTATCGATCAATGTATTATGCCTATTTCCTATTGTACAATTGTTACGTAACTAAGCTATTCATATTTGTGTTTCTCTTATCATGAGCTTTATTTTGATCTTTGATTTATTATCATACGATTCTTGAGTTATACTCAGTTATTGATTACTTTGGTTTGTATAAAAACCCATTATGTTTGTAAATAATGATTCATATTGCCGAGGCTGTTATTTGTGTTCTGGACTCAACTGGCTGGGCTAGGCAGATCGCAGGACCGGTTAGCAATCTAGTCTGCTCGTACGGGTTTCGTGTCACTGTTCTAGTCGATAATTCGCTGCTCCCTGTTAGGCGGTTCTATCGAGCCACACATCAACTACCCATCTACTCGGCCACAAGATATAACACATAGAATAAAGAACTTACACGTTTTGAGTTTGTATCAGGGTCCACAGAGAAGAAACCGATACGTTCAAATTGATAAGCAGTGTAAACCTCAGCATTTTTGACAGATTGTTCAATCAAAGCATCCGGAATTACGACTAATGAATTCTGAACAATGCAAAAGTTGGTTGCGTATAGTTTACGTAATCGAAAATAGTTTATAGAAATAAAGACATTCTGAAGTTTAATAAGAGACAAAAGTGACTTGGGAAAAACTAATGTTTGCGCAACACTTCGAAAAACTTCGTCACGGTATTTTGTACGAAAACTGAAAATTATTTAGTTTTTTTAAAGTGACAACTGTGAAAATACGTCGAATTTTTCAGTTCGACTCTATCTTCTCAACACATTATCGACACTGAACTATTAACGATAAGTGGTGATAATTTCTCGTTGAATTCTATTAGACTTTTATGTTGAGCAGAACCATTGAGGTTTATCGACCTCGATAATCAATGCATAATTATTCAAAATGTTTCATCTAACAAACATTAATAGAAATCATGAATTTAATGAATAGTTTGAAAATAACTGGTAATGAATAAAACAAACTTAATGGTAGCAGAAGGGGATTTGCGGAGATTTCAGTATTTTTTCAAAGTTGAAATCATGAGTCAATTGAAGCTAGACCACTTAAATGAAAACTAAAAATCCATTTATTAGACGGATTATAATTTTATGATGAAAAGCAAGTGCGAAATTACATATCCCAATGGTTGTCAACATAGTTTAATGGGTTAATGCAGATAAAAAAATCAGAAGTCTTCAGAAATTAACTTGGATTTTACAAAAAGCTGGTAGTCACAATACCTTATATATGACTGTCTAAGAAACATGGCTTTAATATGCCAACAAGACTACAATGAAGTTAGTGATTTACAATTCATTTCTAGAACAGTGAATTAACTTCCTCCTTTAATAAGTTTAGGTAAATATATAGTATTTAGAAACGAAAGCTCCAACCCCTTTTCTTCCACAATTGGGATTGATCTTTTTCTGCTGGAAATCGTAGCCACCCCAGAGAAGTATAAACATTGCAGTTATTGCATACATACATATACAAGGAAAAGAAAACGTTGAATGGTTGTGGAGTGAAACTATTGAGACTATAATTTATATACTTCAAACTATTAGAGATCAAAGAAATGAAGTAAACTAGTTGTTATTTTATGGCTATGAAGTTAGAGAAAAGACATCTAAACGAAGGACCGTCTGATTTGATTGCAGTTTAACCAAATTACTTTATGTTGATTTTCTTACTCCTCATTGGTCAGTATAAATAAATATTACTACGAAATAAAACAAAACACAATACAAGTCCTAAAAAACGTTGATCTGAAGAAACGCTTAAATATAGACTGTAATTAACTGAAAGTAAAATGAACTGGATTGATTCCAATACGTGGTTGCATATTAAATTTAAGTGAGTCAGGAAAATTGTACTATACTAGGACTAAGGGTATTTATCCAAAACTGACGAGAAAGGATGTCTAAAAAGGTCTCAAAGATATCGTTCAGTAATTTGAACAGACTGGTACTGTATGATCTTCTTTTTACTTGTACGGTGTCGATGAAAACCTACAAAATCTATTGCATTAAGCTTATGTCTAATGATTAAGTACTACTAGTAAGTTTTAAGAACAATTTTATCATTAAATGGATGGATATTTGTACACTTTGTAGACTAAACTTGAATAACGGTCTAACTAACCTGTCTGCACAAAAACACGAAAAACCTAACACGTAGTAAAAATGATATAAATTTATCTAAACGTACTTTATTGATGACAGACAAGAATCCATTCTTTTCGTTTTCTGGCTCCTTGACAGTGAACCTAAAAACACCAGATAATAATAAATATTACTGACCCCGTGAATGATTAATTTTGAGATATTATATATAAGCTATAAACCCAAACTTACAAGCGGTCATACAGTCGAGCTTCAAAGTGCAAAGGATTGGACACCCAATGTATAAAAGCTTTTGGCTTAGTAGAATCCTCTACCTTCTGGGCTTTCACAAATAAATGAGATATTTTCCCATTGCAATCCTATATGAAGCGCAATTCACAGATAAATGGGAATAATTCAGCGATATAACATTAATGACTACAAAAATTAAGCAAAAACCGAAACTTACAGAAATCTTGTGTACCATATCCAATGAATGGGAAACTGAGAAAAATATAACGTTCACTATGGGGCTACGGGTTATTTCTACAAGATTATTGAGTTAAAACAGTACTGTTTGCCATGCGAAAGTCAAACAAAACGTGCTTTTTTTGAATAACTAATACATATGACTTTCAGACTTACTTTTCTTCAAAACCTATTATGATACATTTTTACAAAAAATTTCGAATGTAAAGTAATTTTTTGTGCAGCTGAGAAGCGTAGCAACTTAATATCACGATTCTATGGCAGTACTTACTTACTTACTTACGCCTGTTACCCCTTGTGGAGGAGCATAGGCCGCTCACCAGCATTCTCCATCCAACTCTGTCCTGAGCCTTCCTTTCCAGTTCTTTCCAGTTGCTATTCATCCTTTTCATATCGGCTTCTATTTCCTGGCGTAGTGTGTTCTTTGGCCTTCCTCTTTTCCGCTTCCCCTCCGGATTCCAAGTTAGGGATTGAGTGGTGATGCACATTGGTGATTTCCTTAATGTATGTCCGATCCACTTCCAACGTCTTTTCCTTATTTCCTCTTCAGCTGGAAGCTGGTTTGTCCTCTCCCATAAAACGCTGTTGCTGATAGTATCCGGCCAATGGATGTTGAGTATTTTGCGTAGACAACTGTTTATAAATACTTGTACCTTCCTGATGATGGCCGTAGTAGTTCTCCACGTCTCAGCTCCATACAGTAGGACTGTCTTGACGTTCGTATTAAAGATTCTGACCTTGAAATTGGTTGAGAGTTGTTTTGAGTTCCATATGTTCTGCAATTGTAGAAATGCTGCCCTTGCTTTGCCAATCCTTGCCTTTACATCTGCATCCGATCCTCCTTGTTTATCAACGATGCTCCCCAGGTACTTGAATGTTTCCACCTCTTCCAGAATTTCGCCATCAAGTGTGATTGGGTCGGTGTTCTCCGTGTTGCATTTGAGAATCTTGCTTTTTCCTTTGTGAATGTGGAGGCCTATCGATGCGGAGGCTGCTGCTACATTTGCTGTCTTCATCTGCATTTGGTCGTGTGTATGAGAGAGGAGGGCTAGGTCATCTGCGAAGTCCAAATCATCTAATTGATTCTGAGAAGTCCATTGTATTCCGTATTTCCCTTCAGATGTCGAATTCTTCATAATCCAGTCAATCACTAGAAGGAAGAGGAATGGGGAGAGTAGACAGCCTTGTCTGACTCCGGTCCTTACTGGAAATGCATCTGTCAGCTGTCCTCCATGCACCACTTTGCACTGTAGGCCATCGTATGAGTTTTGGATAATGTTGACGATCTTCTGAGGAACTCCATAGTGTCGAAGAAGTTTCCATAATGTTCTCCTGTCCACGCTGTCAAACGCCTTCTCATAGTCAATGAAGTTGACGTATAGTGATGAGTTCCACTCAACTGATTGTTCAACGATGATCCGTAGTGTCGCAATCTGGTCTGTGCACGACCGATCCTTACGGAATCCAGCCTGATGATCCCTAAGTTCAGCGTCTACTGCGTCTTTCATCCGATTCAGCAGCACTCTGTTGAAAACTTTTCCTGGTACTGATAACAAACTGATGCCTCTGTAGTTCTCACATTTGCTCAGATCTCCTTTCTTTGGTATATTGATGAGATATCCTTCTTTCCAGTCCGTTGGCACTTGTTCCTCTTCCCAAATCTTATTGAATAGAAGGTGAAGCATATTTGCAGTTATTTCAATGTCTGACTTCAGTGCTTCTGCTGGTATATTGTCAGGTCCTGCCGCCTTCCCACTTTTGATTTGTCTGATGGCCATCTTGACTTCTTCGATCGTTGGTGGAGTGATATCTATTGGAAGGTCAGTGTGGGCTGCTTCGATGTTCGGTGGATTCAATGGGGCTGGTCTATTCAGCAGTTCCTCGAAGTATTCTGCCCATCTTTTCCTCTGTTCCTGAATCTCAGTGATTGTCTTTCCTTCTTTGTCTTTGACTGGTCTCTCTGGTTTGCTATATCTCCCTGCCGATTTCTTCGTTGTGTCATATAGTTGTTTCATATTCCCTTCTCTTGCAGCTTTTTCCGCCGCCGTTGCTAGTTCTCCCATATATTTCTGCTTGTCGGCTTTAATGCTTTTCTTCACTTCTCTGTTTGCTTCTGCGTAGTCTGCTTGTGCTTTGACTTTCTCTGCTCGTGTTCGGCTGTTGTTAATTGCTAGTTTCTTGTTCTTCCTTTCTTGAATTTTGTCCAGGGTTCCCAGAGAGATCCATTCCTTGTGATGATGCTTCTTAGGACCAAGAACCTCCTGACACGTTGAAGTTAGTGCTTCTTTTATCCCTTTCCAGTTGTCCTCCAAAGTAGTTTCTTGTTCTTTCAGTAGATCCTGTAGAGCTTGGAACCTGTTGTTGAGAGTTATCTTGAATTCATGGAGCTTGTCAGTATCTCGAAGAAAGGCTGTATTGAACCTTTGTAGTGCTGTTTGTCCAGTTGTCCAGTCTTTCTTTAGCTTCAGTCTCATCTTGGCCACAACCAGGTGGTGATCTGAAGCTATGTCAGCTCCTCTCCGGGTTCTCACATCTTCCATTGATCTTCGGAATTTTTTGTTGATACAGATGTGGTCAATCTGGTTCTCTGTGGTGTGGTCCGGTGAGATCCATGTAGCTTTGTGTATACGTTTGTGTGGGAATATTGTGCCGCCTATAACCAATTTGTTGAATGCACATAGGTTTGCAAGTCTCTCCCCATTTTCATTTCTCTCTCCTAATCCATGTCGTCCAATTACATCTTCATATCCTGTGTTGTCCACCCCAACTTTAGCATTTAGATCTCCCATCAGGATTGTGAGGTCCTTTCGTGAGCACTTCACTATAATTGATTGCAGCCTTTCATAGAACTGATCTTTATCATCGTCGTTGCTATCATTAGTGGGTGCATAACATTGAATAATGTTCATTTTGATCCCTTGCTTCTTTGTTCTGAATGATGCTTTGATTATCCTGGGTCCATGAGATTCCCATCCCACAAGTGCATTTCGTGCTTCTTTGGACAGTATTAGAGCAACTCCCTGAGTGTGTGGAGCATTTTCCCCTTCGTGACCGGAGTACAGCAGCATCTCTCCTGTACCTAGCCTTTGTTGTCCAGTTTGTGTCCAATGGGTTTCGCTGATTCCGAGTACTGCCAAGTTGTATCTTCTCATTTCCATTGCTATTTGGCTGGTTTTTCCTGTCTCCCACATCGTCCGGACGTTCCATGTACCTATAAAGAGTGTTGCTCTGGTTGTTAGAAGGTGCATCGGTCTCGTGACTTCCGAAGAATTTCGGCTTTCATCATGAGACGTCATAATTATTCCTTCAACTCTCAGGGCAGAGTTTAAATGGTTTGAATTATTTTTTCTGGTTAGCGTTTTTTTAGCGAGTTAGCTTTTCTATGGGATGGGGTCGCTAACCCCATGCCCAACCTTCCTCCTTTACCCGGGCTTGGGACCGGCAGTAACTCTAGAAGAGCTACAGGCAATAACTGAACAAAAAATTGTGATTTTCCTTGTAAAACATATACTTAGAAATATTGTCCAAAATTTCGTATTATTACATGTATATGTACATTAAAGTAATAATCAGAAAACAAATGTTTTACGAAATTTAAATGTAACCAAAATCAAAAATCGTATAAAAGAATCTAAAACATTATAGTTTACTTTTTTTAAATCGGAAAATTCTATAACAAGGCCCGCGTAACGAAGACCAACTGGTTGATTAGGGGTTAAACGACGATATCCTTTCTCAGCAACTTCTTGAAAATCTGAACTTTCTATGTACAGCTCCTGTTGCAACAGTACACTATGGGTTTTACTGTCTGGAATGGCAGGAAAATCCGCAACTGTAAGCTAAAAACAAAACACAAAGTATGCTGAATTTACTGTCAACCTAAACAGTGAATGTAAAGAATTTTGAAAATAAAAATCATTTTACCTCGACAGAAGATTTATTGCCATATAGTTCACACCAATTCGTAATAGTGACTATTATTGGCTCTAAAACAGCCATCACACGTGGTGCATGATCATTCAGATAGTCCCGTACGCAAGCATCTAAAGCAGAAGGATCTAGGATTGTTTGAGCCATAGTAACGCCAATACGTTCACAAAACATATTAATAGCTTGAGGTGGAAATCCACGACGACGGAGTGCCGTCAAAGTAACTAACCGCGGATCATCCCAGTCATTAACAATGCCGGCTTCTATCAGCTTTAAAATTTTGCGCTTTGACACCACACTATAATACAGATTGAGGCGGCCATACTCCCACTGAACTGGACAATAAATATTTAGTGAATTACAAAGCCAATAGTAGGCAGGACGTCTAAAACCAAGAATTCCAAAAAACTCGTTAGCAGTTATACAATATATATATAACGATAAATAGTGAGAACTGAGACAAATAAAACAATACTGTTAAAAAAGTGGGCATGTCTCTATATAACTGAATTCCTGTCGATATCTGAAGTACCTAGTTTATTGGCTACTTTATTAACCTTTAAATATTGTCCCCTGACAATTTACCATTAGCTATGAAATTTCTGATCACTCCATAAACAATATTGTAAGTTTTAGTTTACTAAAAAGGGGAGATTGTACAATTATAAGTGTCCAAATAACTGTTCACTAATCTTCTGAATTCTTTATGTCCCTTTCTTCTCTTTCCTAATTTATTTCACTGGATTATACTCCTTCAATAACATTTTCAAACCCTAATCTTTCCTATTACTGCTTATACTCTTACTACCTCTACCACCATGGGATTTGAATCGACAACTGCATCTCTGTGCTAATGTGGTATGGCAACTCAAACTGATGTACGCATGTACGAAGTTCTACGTTGTGACTAACTGACTGACATACCATTTCTAATATCTGAAAACTGTAAATAAATAAATATAGCTTTGAGGACACTTTTACTCGGTCTCACCATATTGATTTTCCTTATTGATTGACCAGCATACCATCCCTCATTTTTAATCAAGTCGCTCTCAAAATAATCACAACCAGTATTTTTAATGTTTTGTAGTCTTTAAATCCTCCAATTAAGCATTAATTTGTATCAGTAAAGTATTTTGTGTGCATCATGCACAAAATCCCTTAGTTAACAAAGGAAGAATCATTCTCCACATTCACACTTGCTTGAAAACACAAGAAATTACCCAAATCCTTAGTTAGAGAGACACATTTGTTAGATAAGCTCAAGAAATTACATCGAGAATTCTTTATATATTCGCTTGAACAAACTAGACTTGAGATCTTTAACTTAAGGTTTTAAATTCCATGTCCCAAACAATGAATTAAACCAAACTGACTAGTGATATGTTTAAAAATTAACATAATCAGCTGTCTGAATTAGGGCCTATACCGAAAGAACCTACTGAACAAGCGTTTTATAACACCAGGGACCCTTATAAATTCGTTACCAAAAGGGTATAGGAACACTGTAAATAAGCTGACGAAAAGTTATAGCTGCTTCCCATTAGATTCAATGATCGAACAGCTCTTTTCAGACCTCGGTTTTGGAATAATAAGAAAGGATATCTTTGAAAAATGTATAAATTACCAGATGATGAGAAACACTTCGCTACGGATAAGATGAGTAAAGATATGACACCGAACGGGGAAAATTGGTCACCTTCCAAACAAACTACTGAAGAAAAGAAAAACAGATGAGTCGATTTGTGAAATTTTCAAACCAACAGTCAACTACTTAACAAGGCTGTATGATCTACTTAGGACTTGTATGACTGGAAACACTCCATGGGACTGTAGCAAGCCCATTCAACTATTGTACTATTTGTGTGCTCTCTGTAATCCTAACATTTAACCCACTGTAAATTTATGTGTGAGTCTGATTGAGCGCATGTCTGCACATCAATCCTTAATTTGTTCTCTCATTGGTTGTAAACAAAGACAATCAATAATTTATCCACAATCCATTAACACTCAAAAATATATATGGATTTTTAACACTCACACACACACACACACATTTGTTTTCCCGGTGTGCTTGCTATCTGTACGCTTGTGGATTTTTACCGAGCTTCAACAATAAACTATCTCTACAACTGGTGTTCAGGCTTTTGAATAATCTCGAATAAACCCGTAATTCCACTAGGAGAATCAGTTAGCGGAATATTATTTATTTATTGGAGTCAGATATAGAGGAATTAATTTCTACAGGCCATCCTATGAATGAACAATGCACAATATAACAAGCTTAATGGCTTGATCAACTGAAAAATCTCAAAAGGAAAGAACTGGCTACACACAACAATCCTGATTTTGTCGACATAACACAGGGCGTTAAATGAATCACAAGGTAGATGGTTTTTCTGAGGGTTACCAGAATTACAAATCCACAAGAGTACTAAACAAAAAATAGGATGAATTTCTTGAACTCGGTCAAGTTCTATTTACAGAGAAAGTCCTTAGACGGGTCAGCATCTTCATTTCAATAGCTTCTAGTCAATTACAAATAAAACGTCTCTCCAAAAAGTTAATCTCAAAGAAAACTATACTCTGTCCTGAAGATTTATTTGTAAAATGGAAAGTATTCGCGGGAGGCAAATTGAAAATGAGCATTCCATTAAATTTGTTAACGAACATTTTGAGCCAATAATTGAAATTCCGTACATAGCCAGCACTACTTATAAAAACGTAATTGTCAAACTTTTATTCAAGAGGGATGATTCTGGCTCGCAAAGTAGCCATCGACCAAAAGTCGATATTGCACCAACCTTTCCCGTCGTCAATATAACTATCACATATGGAACAAATTTTTTATTATTATTTATGTAAACACATAAATATTGGTACAAGGAAGCACCAGATACATATGCGCCATACAAATCTCTTTCGATTTGTGTGAGGGCTGTGATACTGCCCAGGTGCCCAGACTGAAGCAGGTGGTTTTCTTAGGGGGCCACACCCGGAGCCTTTGACCGAAAGATCTGATCCACAAGGCAGTGGAGCATCGTAAGGAGATGCAATCCCATGGTAGCCGGTGACCAACAGTTGGTTCATACGCCATTCGTTCCTTTAGGATACTGGAGCCCATGTGCACCATTGGTTTGAAATCAGGGTTTTCCAACTCCCCTAGGTGGATCCTCCACATCCACCAACCCGGTTAAAGCGCCGGACATTTGCTTTTCGTCCTCTCACTTTTGTGAACAACACCCCCGCCACGAGAAGGCAGTGAGTAGGACTTCCCTGGCAGAGCATTTCCAGAGGGAGAGCAGACTCTCCCCACTCTCGGCCGTACCAGGGCATTTGGGGGCCATATGGAACAAAAGGCACAATCATATAGTCTTAGACTAGAGATTTTTATTTACTTTCATTTGTAGTTGTTTATCAGTATATGCAATAGCATGTTAGAAGAACGGAGAGGATCTTATTCACAAGAATCTCTCCGAATACATACCACTACATTTGGTTGCCAATGGGTTCAAATTCACAACAATGTCATGAGATGACATATCATATTTTCTTTATCCAATGATGTTTCAAATCTAAAGCTTTTGTTTAACCTAAAAACTTCATAGGCATTGTTCATCCCACCCACTATTCTTCATCTAATTACAATAATACTGTCGTTCATTCTAGTCGAATCATTTCTAATTTACAGTTGTCAAGGCTAGCCTAACACTAAAAAAAAGTTTTATCTGTTCATTTAGTCATTCAAGCAATTTAGTGTCATTACGCTAACTTCTGACTAAGTTCACTTCAGTGGTGATTTAATAACAGTATGTAAATGGAAGAAGCCTAGAGGAACAAATGAAAATCAAAAACAAAACGTTTACAGTAAAAAAAATACTCAAAAGCTGTCAGTAAACCCATAATAAATGTAATGCGCTCTATCTCCAATTTCAGCAATTACTGCTCAGTCAAATTCAATGACTTAGTATGGATACAACCGGGAAATCCATAGTTCTGTTAACAATTTGAACTAACAATCAGATAATACAGATAATCTGACATGGTTTGATGAACATACTTTTTCTATTACGCCTTTTCAGTACAATAAATCTTTCATAAGGGCAATCATTTTGTACGGGTAACATACTATAAATGATGCATTTTAAAAACCTGTTTTATGTCTAGTAGGAAAAAAATCCAAATTCACTATCATATATTTTAAGCTCTAACAACATACAAATACTTTTTTAATAGGGAATGACAAAAATCTAAGCAATATACATGGGCCCCCAAATGCCCTGGTACGGCCGAGAGTGGGGAGGGTCCGCTCTTCCTCTCGAAATGCTCACATGGCCACGCGTATGTAGCCTTTGCCAAGGAAGCCCTATTCACTGCCTTCTCACAACAGTGGTGTTGTTTACGAAATTGAGAGGACGAAAAGCGAATTTCCAGCGCTTTAACCGGGTTGATGGACATGGAAAGTACACCTAGGGGAGTTGGAAAACCCTGATTCCAAAACAATGGTGCACATGGGCTGCAGTATCCTGAGGAAACAAATGGCGTATGAATCAATCGTTGATCACCTGCTACCATGGGACTGCATCTCCTTACGATGCTCCACTGCCTTGTGGGTTAGACTTTTAGGTCAAAGGCTCCGGGTGTTGCCCCCTAAGAAAACCACCTGCTTCAGTTCGGGCACCTAGGCAGTATCACAGCCCTCACACAAATCGAACGAGATTTGTGCGGGGCATATGTATTCGATGCCCCTTTGTACCAATATTTGTTTAAATAAATAAATAAATATACATGTACCATTATTTGATGTTACTTACCGTGACTGAAATTCCTTAGTGCATAATGAATGTGTAATATTCTCGATGGAATCACACAAACAATGAGTATAGTCATAAGTAGGGTAAATACACCTAAATTAAATTGTAACATAGAATAGGGAAAAGTAAATAACCTACCATTCAGTACCAGTACGATGATGAGGAGTCATCTTGATGCGATAAGCTACTGGATCGACTTTTCCATCGCCCAATGTCACTTTCATACGTAAAGTAGCCATACCTTCGTCAATCTAAATAGCAGTGACGAATTACGGAAGCATACAAGGTAATGCAATGTTAAAGGATATACTCTCCAGTTCATTTAAAACCATCTATTAGTTAAAAACAGAAGTAACACGTAATAGTGTCGGAAATCCAGATATAGTTTCAAAATTTTGATTTTTAGGTGGAAACAAACGAACAAACTACGGACAAGTGTGGAATTCATATCGTTTTATACTAGTAGTATAAGTGATATGTAGTATACGAACATCAAATTGTATACTTACATCTAAATTGCAGCACCGAATGGCAGTCCTCACGTACACGAGTCGGCAAGGTAGTCTAAAATTTAGAGCGAACAGTTTATGACCACTGTATTAAAATCCCCCATTCTGGCATTATTGACTAGAAACCACGTTTGTACGTCAACCTAAGCTTTCATAAGCGGTTATGCCCTGCGAGCATTAAAACTGAATAGCATATGGTTAAAACTCGGGTAATCCCAGATTCGATGTGGTATTATTTGTATCGACATTACACTACCGCGAAGAATTCTCTACTAATTGCACTGAGAATCCGATAATATGTTTTGAAACATCAGAAATGTATTACCCTACTCATTGGGATATCATGAATAAAATACTTGTTAATTTGGATTTCGTGATGCAAGAGATACAGGCTATCAGGTACACCTAGTACATTTACATATGTTCTACGGCGCTGACTAAAAACGGGTTTGGAACTCACTGTGAGAAATACGTAATGCACTTTGTGTTACGAGTACTGGTTTAATTTTACATACTATACTATCTTCGCAATTCGAAGTGTTGAGAGTACGAATTACAAGAGTCTTCATATTACAGTCTACTATAACCACGATACTAAGGTGCTTTTTCAACCAAGAAAATTTATTTCTAAGGCTATGTAAAAGATATATGGCAATAAATTTGCCAAATATCCATAACCGATATGGAATATGCATACCTTGCCGTTTTTCATATCCTCAAACAATCGCAAGGATTCCTCAATCGGTCTGTCTCTCCATGGCGACGGTGGTGGGTTAAAACCTCGTATTTCTTCTACGGCCTGATGGCAAACATAAGCTAACTTCAATTTGATTAACTTAATTGCCCATTCGTATAACTGTTGGAAATTATCCGAGGCATAAGTAATTTTGTGCGGAGTAAACCCTGACAACTGTTAATTTATTAAAAGCTTACCCAGCCATCGAACCATGTCCTCAATAGCTTCGAAAAACTCAGCCTCTTCCTTTTCAGGGTTTGTATCATCATATCGCAAGTAGGTTATGCCACCATGTTTCTAAAAATAATAGACCCCAATGGTATCGACTAACCTTTGCATAGCCAAAATTAAAATTAATTGCTTTTGCGTGGCCGATGTGTAAAATACCATTTGGTTCAGGAGGAAACCTGGTAACTACTATACCACCGGTTTGCTTCATGTGTTCTTTCAATAACCTCATAGTATCTTTTGTCACAACATAACCCGGAGAACTATAATTTTCGCCTGGCTTGTGAAACTTAGCAGCTTCCCCCACTACGTCACTGTCACCATTCACTAACATGACAAGAGTACTGAAGGAATAAAAGAATAAGCAAGGCAACGATGCAGCAACGCTTCGTCCACTGATGGAGGTCACTGAGCACTTGAAGGTCAAACCGTTGTATAACGATTGGTGCGTCACCTCGATAACTCGTAGGGGTTTACAAGAGCGGTCACATCAGGACAATCTTAATTTGACTAAAGTTCAGCCACACTATGTCTGATAACGTCCATCCTTCAAGGAACGAAAGTGATGCCACCGTAGTGATGCGTGGTATAGGACGAATCTTTAATGATATTATGTTTCAGTCTTCAGTAAGAACGATAAGAGGTGTACTGACCTATATTAATCCTTGCAGTTTGTTACACTGTGAAGGTCCAATCTCGTTTTGAATATATCAACAGAAGGTGGTGGTATTGTGTGTTCTGGTAGAGAATTCCAGTGTTTCAAAAAGGGCAATGATTTCGTATTTGTTGTGGTCATCGTTGCTTTTTTATGCTTGTTGTATCAAAAAGCATTCTTGGTCTACTTTATTCGAAGTATTTCGGTTATGCTTTGAAATTTCGCTGTTTGAGTTTTAAATCCTAATCTGATCACAATATTTGGCATTACTTGTAAATACGTTTATTCCCTGTGGATGAATGAATACAATATGGCGAATGTAAAAAGTGGTTCCATAGGATGTGTACCCGTTTAAGTCCCCGCCGCGTACAAAAGATGCTCGTAGCCTAACTCGCATTGGCTCTGGATGTTTTGCTGTACAAACAGGACGTTAATAATCCAAGAGGCTATGAGCCTATTACCGCTGGCCTGTAAAAAGAACGATAGTGGTTGCGCTGGTAACACAAGTACTAATAGTGAAGAATGTGGAAGTGTTATATGTGCTGTTACAGGACGCGTTAAACACCCTACTGTGATTGACGGAAGAGTGAAATTTCCGTTAAAACTAACGAGGATATTGACATGGGTAGTCATGCATCTCCAGTGGAAATCAAAGACGTGATAGGCATTTCCGGAAACCATTTTGTTTCCTGGATAAAAGATTATGTCCTTCTATATAGTTTAAAACGGCCATCTCCTTGAAAGCCAAATGCAGCCTAATTCATCATGTGGTTTCCTCTCAAGAAGACCGTGTAGCATGGACCTTTTGTCCACTCAGACCCGATAAAATCTGAAACACAAGCGTACGGTCAAATTAATCCACGAAAGAAATAACTCTGTAGTTCTTCGACATCGATGCTGACCTCATTAGTTTTACTGGAAACAACCTAGTTGTGGGTGCTCGGTCACGCACCAGATCACAAATGGTTTCTCCATGTTACTCATCCCTTGCAACTGCTAGCCAGCATACATCAAACGCCTATCGACATATCGATAATTTTTCAAATAAATCTCCGTACTCCTAAATTCCTGATTTCTGGTTTGACTGGGTTGTTACAATTCCATTAACGAGATGTTACGTGTAAACTTGTTGTCGAAATTTGAATTTCTGTTGCATCAATAAGTTTAAATACAATTTCATCAGGCACTCACGAGTGACGAATAGTTTAAGGTAGGTAATTCGATGGTCAACTGGAAATTTCATCGAAGTCTTGGAGGCCTATGTGAATCAAATGATATCACGGGTATTTATGGCTTGACATCGCTTTTGTCCATATCACCTCTGTAGTCGAAAGGTTACGTACTCAGTCCCAATAGAAATCAGGAACGAAGGAGAACCGAGATTTATTCAAAAAATTATCGATATGTCGATAGGCGTTTGATGTATGCTGGCTAGCAGTTGCAAGGGATGAGTGACATGGAGAAACCATTTGTGATCTGGTGCGTGACCGAGCACCCACAACTAGGTTTTTTCCAGTAAAACTAATGAGTTAAGCATCGATGTCGAAGACTTACAGAGCTAGTTATTTTGAGCATTTATTAGTTATAGATTACTTTTGGAGGGAAGATCTTAAACTGTCAGAGTTCATTTTAGCTTGTCTGATAAGTTTCCACTAACAAGTGGGGTGCCACAAGGCGATATCCCTGAACCATCATGCTGAATAATAATATTATTAATATCAATATCTATCGATACTATATTAGATATCTTATTATATATCTTATCAAATAAATTTTATTAGATACGCTTTAGTAAATACCTTATTAGAAACTCCCGACCGTTGCTGCTACCTTGACGTGGTGGTCGGGCTTGCCTATCGTGATGAAACAATCGAGCTATACTGACTGGAACAATCGTTCCTCGAGGTCCTACCATGCCAGGCAGGTTGGTTGAAGAATGGTAAGACTAAAAGCAGCAAACCCAAGGTCCCAAGGCGAAGTCGTACTGCTGACTGCACAGAGGTGTGACAGCAGTAAGGTGTTTCCTTCAGACAACCGGCATGACAGCGATGCTGCCTTCCCACAAGGATGGTTTGGGTTAGAAAAGGTCGGCCCTAAAAATGCACACCTCGCACTATCCCACAGATATCCGTCTCCGGTGGTAAGGTCCCAACAAGAACGCAGCTAACACAAAAACCACCCACAAAAAGGTCGTGTGTGACCGACCTCAAGCAGCTGTCACTTGGGCACTGCGGTCACGTTCACAGGTCATAAAGACCACTTTCAACCTAATTTCCTTTTCAGGTACTCCTAGAAGAACCCTTCCACGGTGTGGGCAACCGGGAAGTGATAACTGCCCTCATAACTCTAACAGCACTCAAGACCACTGTATTCATAATCAATCTCCTTCTTCAATTCTTACTATTCCTTCTACCTCGACTTTCAACATTAAACTTCCTCTTTCGGTTTCCTCTTCAAGTGTCACCATGGCCAACGATTCTAGTGAGCTAAACACTGTCCCAGGTCTACTAAAACCTCTCTCAAAACTACACATTGGAGCCTACAACGTACGTACCCTATGCCAAATCGGTCAACAGGCCTCATTAGCTAAAACCCTAGAATCTCGTGCCATTGATGTATGCTGTGTCTCCGAAACACGCATACAGGATCCCAGTATGGTCATTCACTTGACCTCACCTCGCCAAAAAGGACAGCCAACGAAATACACCCTCCGTGTACCTGGCGACCCGTTGGCTAGTTCTCGCGGACTTGCATGTATAGGCATAGCACTTAGTACAAGGGCAGAACAAGCACTATTAGAATGGATCCCCGTTAACAGTCGCCTGTGTGCTATCCGGCTAAATGGCTCCGTAAGAATTTGGAAGGATAGACTCACGTCGTTGCCTTCTCTCTGTTTCTGCCTACGCTCCCACTGACTGCAGCCATAATGAAGTGAAAGATGACTTTTACAGAAAGCTCTCTGAACTTCTTCAAAAAGCTAAACGCTCAGACACTGTACTCGTATCAGGTGACTTTAATGCCCAATTAGGCAGCTTAAATCAAACAGAAAGACATTTAGGTGGGTATTTTAGTATTCCGGCTCAACAAACCGATAATGGTGATCGTCTGTTGCAACTATGCTCAGACAACCGTCTATTTTCAGCAAGCATTAATGTTAAGCATAAGGAGAAATATCACCTAACATGGCGACCACCTGCACCAAACCAACGATGGACTCAAATAGACCACATTGCCATCAGTCATCGTTGGAGATGCTGGATAGAAGACTGTCGCTCGTATTGGAATGCTTATCTAGACTTTGACCACGCTTCATTACGAGCACGCATTTGTCTGCGCCTCATTGGACGCAGGAAAACTACACTAAGAAGACCCATTATGATTGAACTGGAGCACGAGAAAGCCAAATGTAAATTCCAGGAACGACTGAGTTCACATCTAGGCAGTTCTGTAAACGAGACTGACCCAGATGCTGCTTGGAAAGACATACAAACAGCTGTGGAAACAGCAACGACATCAATTAGTGATTTGAACTAAATGGTTACGAAAAGCCAATGGATTTCTTCTTAGTCTAATGGATTCTCATCCCATCAGGCTCCGAATATGGTGAAGAGCGAAAGCAAATCAGATCTAGGTTAACTAAAAGTCCAAGGAACGATCGTGAGCAGTGGTAGTCAACGAAAGTGAAAGAGGTGGGAAAGGCAGAGGCTGTGGAAAAAACCAGGCAACTTTTCAGACTAATAAAAAAAACCGGGATTAATAAGCCAAGTGTAAGCGAAACAATCTCGGAAAAAGACGGAATCCTTATCTGCTCTCAGCCCTGACGTTTAGAACGATGAGCGGAACACTTTAAGGAGCAGTTCAGCTGGCCTTCAGCTACTGCACAACTACCCACTATTCCCAGAAAACCTGAAAGGTACATTGAAGTAGGCCCCCGACCCCATCTGAAGTTCAAAAGGCTATAACCAATCTGAGACGAGGAAGAGCAGCTAATCCTGATGGATTGGCTTCAGAGATCTTTAAATATGGTGGCCAATTTTAGCGACTAGATTGACTAATATTCTAGCTAAAATCTGGGAGTTGGACGTAATCCCATGTGACTGGTCACAATCTCTGATTGTCTCTATATATAAGAAGGGGTCAAAATCATCCTGTGATAACCATAGAGGAATTAGTCTGACTAACATAGCATCTAAAATACCAAACCCATTAATTATCGGGCGCCTAACTGAGACTCGTGAACTCCAAACACGAGAAAATCAGGCTCTCTTCAGACCTGGTTGTGGCTGTATCGACCACATACTCACCATTCGTCAAGTTTTAGAGCACAGACATGCTTATCGGCGTCCGACAATGATAGCGTTTTTTTTACTTGAAAGCAGCATTTGACTCTGTAGACCGAGAGGTTCTGTGGCAGTGTCTGTCGTTAGAAGGTGTACCTGAGAAGTACATAAACCTTGTGAAGGCTCTTTACTCGAACACTGCCAGTCGAGTGAGAGCTTATGGCGAACTGTCATATGATTTCGCAACCTCAAGTGGTGTCCGACAAGACTGTCCACTACCTCTATTTTTGTTTAATTTAATTATAGACCTGTTGCTGGAAATAACACTCTCGTCGACTTAATTTTCAGGAATTGATCTCCTACCAGGAGGTTCACTTATCGACTTAGAATACGCAGATGACATAGTCTTGTTTGGTGAAGACGCTGGCAAAATGCAGAGTCTTCTGTTAGAACTGAGTAATAATGCCAGGATGT